TGTGTGTCCTCTTTTTTTTTTTTTTTTTTCCAATCCACTGCTTTGGTGCCCCTCTACTGAGTACTCTCAATGTGCCGCCATTTGTGTCTTGCCGTTTTCTCGTGCTCTGGCAAAAGGATTGTGCTTGTCCCTCCGGTCATAAGGCTTTCATGTCCGTCCACTTAGTCATAGAATAGAGAAGTCGATTTCGGAGCTGCGCTGGTATGTTCCATGGATGCAGTTAGAGCTATGATGCATCTACCCGAACACGGGTGCACTCAGCATCGAGTAGTGAACCTGTAGCAGTTGAATGATTTCCACACAACGACAGTATTAACCATCATTAGATAGGATGATTTGTAAAGGGTGAAGTGTGTCGATTCTAGCTTCGGGCACTTCCCCAAAAAATGGTCCGATATGAGATCAAGTGCGATGATGATGTCGGTGAGGAAAGCAGACCTCGGAGGCGTGGCAAAGGAACTTTGGTGCTAGCCGAGTCAGACACTATCTACCTATATATTAGACCTTCTATTCATTTGTATTCAGGGCGTTGTTTGTTTATGGCTCTGTTATACTATGTAACAATCATCAGCAGCCCTTTTGTTTCTGCTTTTCGATTTCGTACAGGACAGCTCTCTCACAGCCGGCAGGATCCCTGAGAAATTCAAACGTAGGAACCCGATTCGCCCTGCTGGAGTGCCTGGAGACCATCCTAGTGAAGTCCACGCCTGCAGAACCTCAGTTGATCATTGTCTCTGCAACCAATCATAGTGGGAGGGATCCATTCTGGTCGTCATAGACACATGGTGGGGCCCACCGTAGGTACTTTTTTTTTTTTTGCCCCTTCTGCGGAAGATGGGAATTTCAGCCAGTCGGCCGCGTTTAGTTCGGGTCCTGCAGGCTTGCTTCATTATGAATCTTACGGGTTGGCGGCTTTCCGGGTTCTTGTTTCTTTTCTAGTCTAGTCGGGTCTGGTCTGGTCCGGGTCTTGGGGTCGTGGTCTTGGACCTGCTGCTGGGCGCGCGCGCGCGCGCGAGAGAGACCTTTCGTTGTCCGGACACACAGACACACACACACACACACACACACAGCGACACACGGACTCCCTCCTTCGCAGGTTGAATACTCATACATTAAGAACAGTAAAGGAAGCGGTGTAGGATCGCTGTGACTCTAAAATAGATAGTCTGTCTCTATTCCTGCTGACTTTCCCCAGTGCGTCTTGATGTGGAGGTGGGGGAATGGATGTTGTTGGCCGGGAAAAGAAGGGCCTTAAGGAGTCACTGAGAGTAAACAAAAACAATCATCCGTCCAGTTCTCAGTACATGCCTGCCTACGCTAGGATAGGAAACCTTTTTTTTTTCCCCTCTGAACACAGTCTGAGTCAAATTATTCATCATGGATGACTCTGGCGGTAATCTTTTTTGGGGAGCAGGAAGAAGAAAGTTCCTTTCCGACATTCCTTAAAACGACCATCAAACGCTCCATCATCGGGTCGGACCAATAACCGCCACCCTAAAACATCCACCCGTGGTGATTTTCAGCCGGCTCGAGAACAAGTAAAGTGCGGAAAGGAAAAAAAAAAATTTTAATTTGGCACTGACAAGAGAAGAGAGATGGTGGTTGTCAGTCACAACCACCACCACCACAACCAAGTGGGATTCCTCAGGCCCTCTTTCTTTTCCTACCGCCCGCCTTATTTGATTTTCTATTACTTTATTTTTTCTTCGCCATTTCTGGCTTTTACCGTTACCGTACAGTAGACTGGGCCCTTTTCTACTTCTTCCGACGGTTAGGTGGTCCCTCACTGGCCAACGAAGTTTCCGGTGATTATTCCATTCCCATTCCCTCGACTTTCCATCTTGCCTTTTCTCGGTGCCGCCATCTTCATCATACATCGGCCCTCCATCCCTCCTCCCTCCCTCCATCCATCCATCCATCCACTTCCCCTAGCCGGAAACTAACCATCTCCCACCACCACCACCACCACCCTTTCCCTCCCCCCCATCCCATCCCATCCCATCCCATCTTTCTTCCTTACTATTCATTCTACCACCTATTTCCCCCTTTTTCATCATACATTCCTCTTCTTTTTGTAACATCCGAATTTCGCCCCCCCTCCATCTCCATTATCTACTTCTCCATTCTAACCTTGTCTTGTGTCTTGGATTCTGTGTGTTATTAGACTTGTTCTCCTGATTCTTAGTCCCCGTGCTCTCCTGTCTTGCCTATACTGTATTGTTCCGTCGACCCGTGCTCGGATTTACTAGTATACTATCTGCGTTGCTTATCCTTCCCTTCTTCCTCTTGTATCCTATTACTTCGTCGCCTCCTCGCCCTTCAGATCCTATTTATATTCCAAAAACAAAACATGCCTTATAATACCCGTCGCAAATCATTGTCGCTCCCCTCCTTGGGGATTCACCTTCCGAACTCGTCCCGCCGCTCTCCGTCCACTTCGAAATCGCCGCACGCGACTGACGACCAGCTGCCTCCGTCCAAGAAAGTAAAACGGTCGCACGATTCCTCGTTATCGCCGGAGCCTTCAACCACCACTACGCGCGCTACAGATAGCAAAGACCATCCGACACCTGTCCGTTCCTCTGGTCGGCGCAGCGCCTTGGAGCACACGCCACCTCCCTCTCCCACCGACCGCACGGTCGCCCCCAAGATCGACACAGAAGGCATAAACGATGACATCGTGGTCGGCGTCATTCAACAGCTGGAGAAGACGGGAAATCGTCCTCACCTGGTCAAGGAATTGGCTGCTGTTCTCATTGCGCTGAACGAGAGCGTCGCAAAGTAAGTCCCGCAGTCATTCTACCATCAGTCTTGTCTTGCAATTCTGACATTATTGCGCCTCCAACAGCTCTGCCAACCCCGCTGCTCTCCTGTCTTCACGGCTAAGCGCGTATATGAAACGCCCCTGGACTGCACTGGCGCCTTGTCCTGTGGCCAAGGAATTGATCCCCATCCACCCACGCAAGGTGTTCTACTTTTTGACGACTTCACCCCGTCAAGCCATCCCAGAGAACTCGGACGATGTCATAATCCCTGGCGTGGAAGGAAAGGACATGACGCCTAGCGTGACAAGTATTGACCTCGATGAGGAAGACGCGTTGGCGCGGGAGCGGTCGCGCCTCAGCCCCAGTCCCGAGGTCGACCTGTCTTCCCCCGACTTCGACGAAGAAAACATTGACTTGGATGGTCGCACGGGTTCCACCAGCACCTCCCGGTCGAGTACCGAATTTGGAGATCACCACACTCGGCTGATGCACTCGAACCGGGCTGCATCCCCTCCATTGGAAGGTGATGAGAAGGAGTTCACACAAACCGCGAGCGCTGTCCGTGAGCGGGCTTCCGAACAAAAAGAAGCCCAGCAACAGCCCTCTACCACACATTTTTCTGCGCTATCGGAAGGTCTCAACGAGTTGCACGAAGATAGTATGATTATCTGCGGCACCCCCGTGGACGACAGCCACCTCTCGTTCAATGGCGATCGCATGGCGGATGAGCCCACCCACGACTACTTTTCTCGTGGCGGTCTCTCTGAACGTTCTCCTCTCCAAGGCCACCTCCAACAGCAGGATCTCGACGAGGCGGCCGTGGCGGCTCTGTTCGGTACTTCTCCTTCCCCTTCTCTCACATCGGTGGCCTCATCCATCTCGTCTGGCACGAGTGTGGCTTCAGATGACGGACTGGATGGCGAGTCTCAGTCGGAAGCGATTGGACGTGCCCCTCAGATCAGTCTACCCGAAGACCCCACCGCTCCCTCAGTATCGACACTGAAGCGTCCTATCGACATGCTGAACAGCGAGATGCCTGATCTGGACATGAAAATGGCAGATCTGGCTGAGCACGAAGACAAAGTGTCGCTAGGAGCTCGCGCATTGCCTCGCTCAGACGGGGCGACGGTTTTCGATTCGTGGCGAGAGCTACAGAGTCCGGAAACAGTTGATGTCCATGAGCTCGATGAGATGTTTGATGATCTCTAAATTTCCGCGACAACAAGACACCAGTCAGCGGGAATTATCCCCTCTCCACTCCATTTTCGAAAATGGCTCGCCTTGATTGGCTAGCCCTCAACAGGTTCTTCGCAACCTGTTTGCTATATCCCTGTATATCTTTTTATCTCTAATGCGTGCTCGCGGCACTTGCCTTCTCTCCGTTCTCGAAACCCCCAAGGCGACAGCCGAAGCCTCCGCTCCTCCTGTATATATACTCCCACTATACCTCATTCCTCTTTCCTGTCCTCCGTCTTTTTTCTCTTTCCCACGCTCACGCTCACGCTCACACCACGACTGACTTGATTTTAATGTCTGCGGTTTGATCGTGAAAAATTCTTTTTGATTGTTCAGTCGGATTGATCTGAAACGTCTCGCTTGGTTGGATCGATGCGGATGCGGTTGTCGGCGTTCTGAGACGGCTACGTTCTGGTAGACTGGAAGAACAAAAATAAGGAAAATTGGAAGCCAAAAAGAAAGAAAAGGAAGGCCGGAAAACTGGGATTTACGTTGTGATGTCAGCAATCATGTATGTTTAGCGCCTGTGGCATCTTCAAGGTTGGAATAAAAAGCTTCCAAATCTCCCCGCAAGGGACTCCTCCGATTTGATAAAGGTTCATCGTATCTTCGCGGATTGTAAGCCCTAAATTGATTGGAGGTTTCGGAGCCAACGCCATCATCGTTCCGTTCCATGGACTATTCGGGCCCGACTTTGGAGCCACTGGGCAATCCTGAATGGTTGAAGCTGCAGGGTGCCAGGTGACATGCAGCAGCAGCTCGCTCTTGGTTGGTCTGGCCAATCCTCCGGTCGGGAAGTCGTTCTGCCCACTAGAGACCACTTGAGATATGCCGAAAGTTGATCATGGATCTTCCTGCCAGGTGGTTGCTGCCTAAGTCATAAGTAGTGTAAGTTCTGATTCGTATTATCTAAGCCGTATTCAATGAACTAACTATTCCCAAGAACTCAGTGAAAGGCAGATGCACTCGTGGAAAAGCGAAGAAAGTCAGGAACGCTTTGAACCAGAACAAGGAGGAAAGAAAAGATCATGACTTCATAGCGGGGCGATTGCGATCGAGTCTTGAGCTTAGACCAAGTCGAGGTACTAAACCTACCTACTGTAAGTGTAACTAGAGTATGAGTACTAGTGACTGTCACCGCCCGCCCGCGCCTGTCATGCAGCCTGCATTGTTGCCAGGAAAGTGCCCGCATCCACTGCATTCATTCCTCCTCCTCGTCCTCCTCCTCGTCCTCCTCCTCGTCCTCCTCCTTCTTCTTCTCCAGTACCCTACGGCGTAGTCTCCTTTCTCGTCTCTTCCACAGATCATCACCCCTTGTGTTCTTTTCCTCTCTTTCATTCCTCCCGTTCCCTCTTCTTCGCTCTCTTACCACTTTTGCCACTTCTGGTTCCGACCCTACTGCTAAAGCGCTGCAGCTGGCTGTGGCTGCAAACCTTCGCGCTTCTAATCGCCTCATCTCATCTCTGGAACCTTCCGCCGGGCGGCCATCATGTTCCTGTTTGGCCGTGCATGCTCTAGGCTCGAAAAAATCTGATATAGTTGGCGATATTTGAAGCGTCAACCACCCACCCGATACCTCCAAAATCAGCGAAAGCAAGTGACCATCGTCGAAGCGAACCCCCCGCCGTCCGCCGCCCGTTGGCCCTCGCTAGTCTGATCAGACAACACCATGGAAGCACAATCTAATTTACCGGACGGGGATGAAAGCCATTCGCAAGGTGGAATGCCTCTTCGTCCCCATCCGGAAGAGCCGTCGGTTTCCTCGTCCAACGCGCCAGCACTGACTAGTACATCGTCATCACAACATCCACCGCGGCCGACCCTCACCACTAATAGCGGAGGTACTAACTCCGATAAAAAACCACTACTTCCCACCACCAACGCCAGCAAAAAGGTTGCCATCCCGCGACAGCGCTCCGGGGCTGCCCCACGCTATGCTCGTCGTGTACCTCTGGCCTGCGAATCTTGTCGGCATCGCAAAACCAAGTGTAGTGGGGATACGCCAGTGTGTAGACAGTGCAAGGAGCTGCGGGTTAGCTGCCGATACCCGATCTCCTGGCGTGAACGGACCAAGACGTTTGTCGATCTTATCGCACGCTTCCCTTGCGCTGGTCATTGACTTAAAAGTATTTAGGCAATTGAATAAGCTTTCTACCAAGACCTCCGATTATGAAAACCTCCTGCGGGACCTAAGTTCCGTGGTGGACGGTCGCGCTGCCGAGCGA